TGAGTGGCTCTGTAATCTACGCACATTCCCAACGTGTCTCTTTCTTTTCTTCACAAACAAGGCGGGACATCCCCATTCAGACTTGCTTGGCGAATAAACCCTTTTTGACAAATCTTCTAATTGCTTCTTCATTTCAAACTAACTCATCTGGAGGCATCCGATAGGGTCTCCTTGAAATCGGAGCTGTTAGGGGACTAACTCAATTCCAAACTCAATCTCCCTATCCGGTGGAAGACGGGTAACTCATCCGGGAATACATCCGGAAATTCACACACTACCGGAATCGATGAATAGGAATGATCGCCGTAGCACATGTAACACTTATAAGGTCTCATTCTCCGAGGCAATGGTACTTGGAAAGTACCCTCACCGTGGGATCCTTAAGGGTAAGTACTCGACTTCCAAAGATCTATGATTGCTCCCCAATCCTTCATCCAATTCATCCCTATAATGACATCTAAGACTAATCCGGGCATAACTATCAAGTTCACTCGGAACTTTTTCGCTACCTAATTCAAGGGTTGCCCTCGAACCATCCGGTTAGTCAAAACATCAGCCCTGAACTTTGAACTTATCGGTACCCATACCCCAATTACATGCATAGTTGTCCATGTTTACGTGCAAATGCTTGACTCATAAAAAGAATGCGATGACCCGAATCAAATAGAACAACTGCAGGATTTTCGTTGACAAGAAACTTACCAAAGAAGTGACGGGCTCTCCCTCTGGAATTTCATCCTTTGTTGTATCTTTGTGCACTCTAGCATTATAAGTCTCCTTTGCTTCTTCTTGGTAGTACGGACAAAACCTCGAGAAATGACCGGGTTGATCACAGTTATAGCAGGTTCTCTTCTTGTCCGGCAGATCCCACAGATTCCTTGGAATTTCCTTGTACTGCGATTCTTGGCCGCTTTGTTAACAGATCGCCATCTTGTACGGCTTTTGAGGTCCACGGAAATTCTGACTTCTTGGCTGAGGTGGCCTGATGTCCATGAAATCCTTGAAGCTGCTATATTGGTTCACTCCCATGCCACCACCTTGATTGTTTCCACGCTGAACGTTGTTGGCGATGGTGCGAGAAAATCCTCCATGTTTTTACGGGATTGTTCCGCATTGCACCGACTCGAAAGCAACCGCTGCGAGAAACATCTCGGGGGTAAACGGGGGAGGAGGTGGCAAATGTGGTTCATGGGGAGGTTCATTGTTGTTGCCGTGGTTCCCACCATCACCACCACCACCGGTCCCCGCACCGTTAGCACCGGTCTCAGCGGCTTCATACGTGGTTCGGCGAGTGTTTGTCATCTGCATATTTCAGCAACAAGTAACGATTGAGTGAAGCTGTAATGATTGCGAGTGAAGGAAAATTATGCCGTACTGATTTTACTGGAGAGAATAAATTCAAGCAATAAAACAGAGGCACAACAATCTCATCCCAATTAAGACAACAACACTTAATCGAATTACTTCAATGGCAAACATCGCATCCATACAGTCACATTGCCAGCATACATACACTGGACTTTTTATGCGTTCAGATATCGCATTCGAAAATCAAGTTCCAACCACATGTCAAGTCTCAGACGTTCGAAGCAACACACGATAGGTTATGTGTGATGGTTAAGTTAAGCATCGCAAAGTACTTAAGTGTGATTGTAAACTATGCTTGTCCTTGCTTGCTATTTTGTGATGCATCTCATGGTACTATTCTTCATATTCATACACTTGCATATTGCATCTCATCTAGGTGCGCTAGATGAACCACGTGAAGGACGTGATGTTGGAGCCGAACCCAAAGACGGTGTATGGAGGATCTATCCCGAAGATGGAAGGACTAAGCAAGTGTTAGGACCTATGATGTCACCAGGACGGTGCAAGCTAACTGAACTGACTTGTGGCGGATCCCAGGCAAGCCCCGGAGCATTATAAGTCTTCTAATTTATAAAAGCAATTCTTTCTATATATGAGTTATATATTGTTGCATTAAGTTGTAGGAGTTGATCGAAACCGTTGATGCATTTATTACTATCCTTGCCTACCTTATTACCCTTTTACCCTGTTAGGTCAGGATCGAATAACTGCTTAGCCTTGCTTAGACCAGTAGCGATCGGTGATATCCGGTCACCTACATTTATAGGTGGTTATTGGAAGAATTTAGCTATGGAAAGAATGATATCCTGGAAGTAACCATGTGTGATGGATAATTGGAGACCGGACGGAAAAGTTGGAGGCAACCAGACAGGGTTCTGGGGTGCTGTTAGTTTCCGTCTGTGTCGATTAAGGACCGACCGTTGTTGGGCCTCGAGTCATGTTGAACGCATGCCTTACATTTAGCTGGCCGGATAAAGTACCTTCCGACCGCGAAGAAACATTTGTCCGGCGGCTTATTAGAAGAGCCCTTGCAACAAGAGAAAGCTGCAAGATGCTCAACTCACATCGACAAACATTGCAGCACCTGTGGGACAACTGAGAATGATGCTCACTAAGACTGGCCACAGCGTTGCCGGTGCTGAAAAATCATCTCCATACGACAGCTCATATCGATGCTAGAAACCACAAATGGATACAGTGCGAGCATCGATGCTTTACTGTATATGGGACCCAAGTGTTCAGAGTTGTCAGCGTGCTGCTCAGTGTGTGGAAGAGGAAGAGTGTGCTGGTTGAAACGAACGGCCGGTGTAAAAATATTTTTTTATCTTCTCAGCATCGAGGAACCCAACATGACCCGATGCCAAGATTTTTTGAAACTGGACACCGGCCACAGCGTTAAGTACCGGTGCTTGAACGCTCTCTCCTTCCTTGACACCAGCAAAAGCCCACATTGTGGCCAGTCTAATTCTTCCACTCCGAATTCGCCCGTGCGGTATGGTTTTCTGCTAACCTAGCTCTTCGCACCAACATTCTGCCAAATGAAGATGATGGGGTGCAAATAATTATGTCTACTCTTATATCTGATTCTGTTCCAGAAGATTTATTGCAAAAAAAATACTAACAACTCTCTGGTACATATGGAAAGCTAGAAGCGACAAAAGATTTGTAAAGAAAATTGGACTCCTTCGCAGGTACACCATGAGGTGGCTGCAAACATCTCGGTGGCAAATTTAATCAACTATACAGGTGACGACCAGAACTATACTACACGACCAGGGCCTTGTTTAGATTGAAAAATATTTCAACCCGATGAATAGTAGCACTTTCGTTTTATTTGATAAATATTATCCAATCGTGGATCAACTAAGCCCAAAAGATTCATCTCGTGATTTCCAACTAAACTGTGCAATTAGTTATTTTTTTACCTATATTTAATGCTTCATGCAAACGGCTAAAAATTGATGTGATGGAGAGAGAGTGAAAAAACTTGGAATTTTGAGTGTATCTAAACAAGGCCCAGCGGATGGAAATGAAGGTGACAGCTGCTGAAACATAGAACCAGGCGTACAGGAACCAAGCCCTTCCACAAACACCACCCACACCGGTGCACGAAATCAGACCAGATATGAATCCTACACATGCAGGAGGCAATCCACCACCAGGCGCACAGCAACCAAACGGAGGAAGGCAGTGAAGCTGTCATGAACACCGCAAGTGCTGCAGCTCCGACACTGATGCAGAATCAACAAGCCGCTCACATTCAGTTCTCAGGTATGAATCATACAATTGCAGGACAGAATACCCAGGCTGCAATCCACGATTGAGTGAACTGGAACAATGGAACAGCATCAAATACACACATTGTACAACTCCCAGCACTGCTCCCAGGCTCCAGATGCATCCACGGTGCCAGACCAGGACTCGGTATATCCGAAGAAAGCTGGACTGGGAATCTATATTATCAATACAGGAGTGCATCCACCTCAAAACATCTACATCAAGGCTGCAGTTACAAACTCTGCCTCGGTGGTCATGGCAGAGGCAGCTGCCCTGGTGCTTGCTGCTACTGTCACCGAAAGACTGCAGATACACAACATCACCTTCGTATCAGACAACCAGGAACTTGTCAACTTCTTCAATTCAGGTGATCAGTCCACACCGCCTGATTGTAGGATCAAGCACCTCACCCAAATACTCATCAACTCAACAAGGCAACGGAACACAAGAATCTACAAGATTAGGAGGACCCAAAATCACATTGCTCATACATTAGCAAAACAGGCTTTTGTACACTCTCAACCCCACCCTACAAGTCTATCATTGTCATGTTCCAACAGAGATCATGTCATACAGTGCCCACCAATACTGGAAGCACTGCATAATGTACTGAAAGACCATGTAACAATTCTAACAGCTAGACGCTGTTGAAATATGTGCATGTTTGTTGACAAAAAAAAAGACGACTCCAATAAGTAGAGAACCCCACACAGATGCCTTCATTCTTATATAAACTGCATTCTCATGTGTTATCACCCGAAAAGTAGCAGAAAATGGGATCTGTTAGCTGAAGTTATCAGCATAGAAATCAGAGGCTCCTCTTTTGCTGCTACTGCGCTCTTATCTGTTTGAAAGTACATATGCCATTTTGTCCTAATGTTTCATAGTTTACTCAAATAATAGAGCACAAGTTAGTCCTACAATTCTAGAATGCCATAACAGCTGAACTTATCTCTCCTCCCTGCCATCTGTTAAACAATTTTTGCTTGGTTTGTAGTTATCCATCTGTAATCATATTATTATTTTTTTTGTAAATTTGCCATTATAAGGTACATTGCTGAGCTACAGAATGAAAGCACAACAGACAACTAAAATGAAATTGATTCTCTAGGCTACAATGTATGGAAGACGGGTTGGTACACTCCAAGCCGCGCCGGTGTTTCTAGTGCACCTCAGCCCAAAGGGCTGTGCCGTGATTCATCGACGAGCCCAACAAACCACCAAACATAATTTTGGGCCCTAATTTGTGCTATAAGCAAAATTTAAGACCAATCAAGTAATTATAAGTAGTCTGTTGTGCTGCCGAGCACAAGTAAAGAACATTAAATAAAAGAACATTTAAAACAAAGTTATATTCACACTAGCTCTACTTTATTAACAGAATTACCTGCAACATCAAACATTGCCAATAACTACTGCATAAAGATTTAGTGCATTACAGATTAGTAAGTCAAATTGTGGCACTGTCAGATTGCCACAATTACAGAAATCTTACAATATACATAGTTCATTTAGCAACCCCCTACTTCCACACTAGAAAAAGGAATAGACCTCATCAAATTTAACAGCAAACAAGAGTACGAGTCAAGCAGCAACTACTCAAAGGATGCGCATACACCTACCCCTCTTTCTTCACATTCGAAGGGATCGGTTTTAGACAAATCATGGGCATGATTAATATGCATGATCGCATGCTCACATCTTTTAGTAGTAAAATAAAACCGAGCACATCTTGAAGCCCTTTTCTCCAGCTGCAGCACAACAGGGGATTGGTAGATGATGATCATGTTCCTCCCAAAAAAAAAAGATGATCATGACTTCCCTCAAAAAAAAAAAGATGATGATCATGACTTTGCGCTTGAACTAACTTCTGTGTTATTAGGAGAAATAAAAACGATAGAGAATCAGCATGTAATTGGGTCAGAGTCATTTATTATTTCCTTTTTTTGAGATTCGAAATGATTTATTATTATTCGTTTGAACCCACAACCTGTTTCTATTGCACGACAATCTTTCCTTATTTTTCTAACTAGCACACACGTCCATACATCGCAATGAGAGGAAAAAAAGCTATCAAATGTTAATGGAAATGGGGATAGGAATGTTACATATCTATTTATCTCTTTTTACCTTTTCCGTAAGTCGGGATAACCATGTCATCTATAATATAAGTTAATGTTTCAATAATATGTCCTATTAAGTCTATCTCAAATTAAAATACGGTCTTGATAGATATACGCACCTAAAGTGATTTGTGTGTGGCTAGCGTCTAAGGTGATTTCTTACTCGGCACCTCGTTGCTCTCGTGCGTGAATTTGTCTAGACTAGATTCGTTGCTATCTTCTACTCCTACTGATTGGGAAATTCAACATGGTGCCTGGGATTGGAGAGAAAAAAGAGATCAATGAGATGCCAGAGATCGACTGGGTGTGGTATCCATCGGAGGGCCTTTTTTTCATTTTTAAAGAGTGCATTATTAATAACTGTTGTGGAAAGAAAATAAATTCTCTCCCTACTCCTTTTTAAGAGCTGAAATAATCTAAAATCTGAGAAGGAGTTGTTGGAGATACTCTTATATTTACAAATAATAATCTACTAATTCTTTCTTTGGATTCTCCTAAAAAACTCTCTCTAGATTGAATGGACTTTTTCTGCTACTTGTTGGGTCTTCACTGATTTATTCTCCAACTAGAAAATTCGAAATCCTTTATCACCCCCAAATACTTGAAGCTCCAAATGTGCATTGGCCGATTCATCCCACTCCCATATCAATCTAGCCTTTCAATCTATCATTTTAGCTCAGAAAAAGTCCATTCCACCTCCCTTAACTATTATGCGAGTCCGATTTACCTCTGTCAACTAGATAATCGGATTTTTAGACTACTTCAACTCTCGAAACTGTCCAATTTACCTCTCTGACCAGTTTTGGAAAGCAGTTTTGGCTAACATGGCGTCATGTCAACCACGATAAGGTAAATCAGTCTTCCACGAAATATTTTTTTCCTAGAATAAATATGCATTGAAAAGTACTAAAATCTAATTTAATATTAAAAACCATAGATATGAAACCATTTTCATATTTTTCGTACAATCATGCTCGTTCCTAGGAGTTGGACATCATAATATAAAGAAATAGGGGGGCTTGGGCTAAAAAAAAAGATTGAACATGTGGTTTTGAGTTTCGATAACTTCTTCCGCTTTCATTTCCTCTCCTCCCTCTGCAAATCACTGAGTTAATTCAAAAGTCCTGTTGGGTCACGTAAAGGCGCTTGCCGCTAAACTAAAATAGGATTAAATACACCCCGCCCCCTTTTGAGATCTTCATATTGAAACAATAGTAGCGCATGCTCATACGCAGCCCTTTCGAGCTTGAGCACAGCTGCGGGCGATCCCATCGGATCCTTTGCGCTAATTCATGGCACCTCCTGGAAGTGGTCTGTGCATCTAGGTAATCCTGGTTGGACGAAATCACCTCAAAAACAAGATATAGATCCTTCCTCATTCTCCCGCAGATCTTGATAAGCTGCCCGGAGAATAGAAAGATTATCCATTCCTTTAGCGACAAGAAACCACCAAACGTAATTTTGGGCAATAAGAGCATCTCAAGCAGACTACCTAAATGGACTACCTGTCTCCAATTTAGGTAGTGGGGGCAAAAAAATCCAGCTCCAGCAGGCTACCTACTTGACCCAACAAATTTGTTCGCTACCCAAATCCTCTCTCCCACTACCCATTCCTGTTGGACCAAGCAAACTACCTAAATCTTCTCTCTCCCACCCACGCGCCTCTTTCTCTCCCCTTCGTGCTTGCCTGTCCGCTCGAGCGGACCTCCGCGGTGGCCCTCCTAGGCCGTGCTCCTTGGCAGCGCTCTAGACCAGATCCGGACCTCCCCAAGCGTCGGCAGGCTCCCAGGCGGTGTGAGCATGGCGGGCGGAACAAGGCAGCACGAACCCGACAGCGCAAGGCCGACGACACGAGCCTGGAGGGCGATCCTCCCCGGGCATGCCAGGCACGACACGAGCCCTGGCGGCGCGAGCCCGGCGTGCTCCTCCCGGCGGCGCGTGTCCCCTTCCCGGCGTGGCCCTCCCCGGTGGCGTGGCGGCCTACCCTAGCGCGCTGGCTGCCCCTGGCACATCTCCGGTCACCTCCAGCTCCATCCATGGCGAAAGGAGGATGACACGTGGGACCCACATGTCATTTTCTGTTAGCATGAGTTTGGGTAAGCTAGTTTTAGGTAGTATTGCTAGAGTCGGGAGCAAAATTTAGATAGTATAAAAATGGGTGGCTACCCAAAGAGAGAAATATGTAGTTGCTCTAAGCTAAATTTATTAGGACCAGTTTAATAATTAATTAGCCTATTGTGCTAGCAAGCACAACTAAAGAAGATCAAATAGAAGTACATTCAAAATGAAGTGATATCTTGACACTAGCTCTACTTTATTAACCAAAACTATAACAACATTACATGCAACCAACCACCTCAAACATTGCTAAAGCTGGAATCGAAACCTAAAATCAAAAAGCTTTCCTACTAGAGCTTGATATAGCCAAAACTTTTGACAGACTAGAATGGAATTTCATCAACACTGCTCTTCTATGTAAAAGGTTTCATGGTCATTTTATCAACCTCATCCAATCATGCAAATCCACGACTTCCTTCTCGGTCCCTATGAATGGCCAACCTTCTGAACCTTTTAGAACACAGCGTGGCATTCGCCACGGATACCCTCTGTCATCTTATCTTTTAGTCATTCCAATCAATAAATTATACACTAGGCTGCAGAACAAAATGCATCCTAACAATCTTTAGGGAGTCTCCTTATGCCTGACATGCCCATTGATCCATTCCCTTCATTTTGCACATGACCTGATTATTTATGGCCACGCTTCTATGGTCGAGGCTAATGCAATCCGTCACATTATATAAGAATTCTGCACCGTCACTTGCCAGAGTCCAAATCTCCACAAATCTTCCATACTCTTCGGTGCCAAAGTGGGCACTGCTACCAAAAATGAAAAAAAAAACATCTTCCCAGGAAATGATCTGCCTCCAGACACCATGCATCTTGGACACCCATCAAGACAAAACCAAAGGTTATGGTTTTATACTAAATAAGTTTAGAGCCAAACTCACTACTGTCAAAGCAAATAATAAGCTCAACCAGACTAAGCATGTGTTTGGTTCTGAGACTTCTTGGGATGGGTTGGATCCATTTCTAATTTTTGGAATTAAGTGAACCTGTTTGTTGTTTGGTTGTGTAGGTTGAGTTCATCCTATATTCTTGTTTTGTTTGAGACACGTGGGGTGTGGATTGAGATCCCTGCCACATGCCCCCCGCGCTGCTTGTGCTCGGCCCAGACGTGGCCGTCCGCGAGGTCGCCCCACGTGCCTCCGCCTCCATGACATGAGCACAACCTTTCACGACGCTCATCGAAGCACCCGGCCGGCCGTGGCCACACAGCACACACCCCAATCCGTCGCAGATCGCCCAAGCAACCATGAGCCGATTGCTTTGTCGCGTCGGCCTCACATGCCCTCGCGTGCCCCACGATGTGGTGGTGCCGTCCCATTGGCGTCCACGCCGCCTCCTAGCACGCCTACCTCCTCTGCCGCCACCGTTTGCTACGTGTGGCTGCCCGACGAGCTTGTCCAGCCATCGCACTGCCACCCCGTGAGCTCGCCTAGCCACCGCGCGCCCAACTATGTTGGATCATGCTCGAGATAAACTAATTGTGATGGTGCCTTAGTTCGGAATCTCACAAACAACTGGAGATTGATTCAGTCGTGGATGATCTTTTAGCTTATATTCAAGTCCTGGCCCACCACTATTATTCTGTGGTGCTTGAGCTTAAAATTGATCGATAAGTTCCACTGGAAAAAAACAACTGGTGATACAATAATAAAATTTTGAGATCATTCTTTTCGTTCATTCGAGAGAAAAAATCATTTCATATGTTTTTATGAACTTGTGATAGAGCTGGCACTGCCACCTAACAAGGCACTAACCGATATGCACTGGACATGGTTATTACACAGTAATTCTAGGCACATGGATGACTGATGCAACTGACCCAATGATAATGTACATCATCATGTATGTATTGGTTTTCTTAATGCCTTGCTTCATGTCTAAAATTGTGATTAAAGATTAGACTCGATCATTTACCACTCCAAAATAATCAAAGCACATGATGGCATGTCATGTCCTGCTTCTTGTATTTTTTTATTCCCTATGGAAGTCCTTTTAAACTAATATTTTCTATTGGAGGCTATCTATGTAAGAATTTAGTATTTTTTTGCTAGATAGTAGAAGCAAAAAAAGATATTACCTGAATTAACTCTGTAATCACATTCGATATTCCAGTTAGTTTAATATTTGATGAATACTATTTGTACGTTTAGAAGTTCAACAGTTGCGAGCAACTGGTGGAACTGGAAATTCTGGTGGGTATAAGGTTGTAATTCTGGCCTGTTTTGTTTTTTAGACATTGGGCTACTATGTGATGTTTTTTTAATCAGGCTACTATGTGATGTTGCAAAGATTGAGTGTGTATTTTTTCCTACCAATAATATTGATGAAAACACTATGCCCCATGATGGTTTGTGAGGAGTGTGGGAATGTTTTTTTTTAATGAACTGGAGGGGCTCGTGCCCCTACAGGGAATTTATTAAAACTTTAAGAAAACAGAGTTTAGAGTGTGGTAATGTTGAGCTCATAGAAGAAATTGGCTTGAAGGAAAAGAAATAAATAGATCCAAAGAAGCTAAAGAGCTCATTGTGTCCATGATATGTTTTAGGCTGTACATCACCCCTTTTTTGGTATCCCTCTTCTAAACACGGGATGTAAATATGCTTGGTAGGGTGCTGCAAAACATCCTTATTAATGCTTCCTGTGAAGTAAGATGTAAATACTTGAACATAAAATAGTAGTGTTCTTAAAAGTGAAATGATAATGCCATAGTTAAAGGCCTTTAGTTGTAACAATGATTTAACATACATTCTTTCATGAGGACCTTATGTACCAAATAATGCCATTAATCATTAGTTTTGAAATGTTATGATATTTCTCATTATAATATTATGATCAGTTAATAGTTTCTTATTGCAAGCTTCCATTGAATGACAAGCTTGTCATGGATGCAACTCTCCTTCCGACAGATGGGCTTTTGTAGCTATTTGTGATGAGAACCAACAAGCATGAACTGACTAGGAAAAGATATCTGGGTTAGCAGCATGGCTGCAGCTTGCATTTTGTGTGCTTGTATGAGCATCATGGACTATTTTAGTGTTTCGGATGGAAATTTAGACGGGTATTCTCGACTACCGGCAAAAGCTTTGGTAGTACTTTGGTCTTGCATCTAATATATGAATAGATCTCTACGGATTGTAAGAACCTACTAATTGTTATTGATGTTAATCTGTCTCTGATCCCCGTATAAACGTTATATTATTGCTTCACAATCTAACTTACAGAGAGCGCTGGTAGGGCGCTTCGCTTCCTTTTCTAGTGTATCATCAGTACTCATGATGAGGCAGCGGCAGTAGCCTTTGCAACAAGATTTTCCACTCTGCTCAGCCTACATGATTCAAATTATCTGTCAGACAGTCAAGTACTGGTGAATTTCTTCGACATTGCCAACTTAGCTTCACCACCAGACTGAAGAATAAAACCTTTCACACAAGATCTCATCAACTCAAGCAGAGACAACCAAAACAAGGTCTACAAGATTGACAGAGATTTGTATCTCAGCTCATTCTGTAGCTAGACAGGCAAAACCTTCTTTCGCTTGTCTTATAATCCGTACTTTTCAGCTTGTTTTTTCAGCCGAAACAGTGTTTTTATCTCACAACAAATCAGCCGAAACAGTGTTTCGGTTTTCAGCGAAGCGAACGGGGCCACAGGAAGCACTGATTACTGTAAATTGGATGCCTTCCATGCTACTGTCCGTACGCTGCTCTTAAATGAAATGAAGTCTGTTATAAAAACAGTACCATTGCCAATTACTTGAGCATGAAGATTTTGTGGATTATAGATAAGTGAAACTGTGGCTGTCAGACTGCCACAATTACACAAATCTTACAATACACATAGTTCATTTAGAAACCACCCCACTTCAACACTGTAAAAATGAATACTCCCTCCATACTAAAAAATGAAGTCATTTTGGACAGCGACATGGTCTCCAAAGCATAACTTTGACTACTTATTTTTATAAAGATATTTATCAAAAAGTGATATATGTAAATTTTTGTGAAAGTATTTTTCAAGACAAATCTATACATATGGTTTTCACATTTTCAAACTCAACAACTTAAAAGTTATTCATGATTTATATTTCCAATGTTTGACCCAAGCCTTGTCTAAAACGACTTCATTTTTTAGTATGGAGGGAGTATACCTCATCAAATTTAACAGCAAACAAGAGTACAAGTCAAGCAGTAACTACTAAAAGGATGCGCATACACCAACCCTTGTTTCAACACATTCAAAGGGATCGGTTATAGACAAATCATGGGCATGATTGATATGCATAAACTCATGGCGACATTTTTGGTTAGTAAAATAAAACCGAGCACATCTTGAAGCCTTTTTCTCCAGCTGTAGCAGCTGATGCTGCTCTGCAAAAAAGCTTTCACTTGCACTGTAATTTTGACACTGAAATGACATTGACTCCAGCATCTTTGCATTCAGTACAAAGAATGTTGCAAAGTTAACTTGTGACCTTATGCCTTGATAATTAGTCAACACAACTGTCTTGAGACGGATGTCAATGCATTTAATAAGAGTACGATGTTTACGGCGCCATAAATTCTTTTCTCCCCCCTCGTATGACTGAAAAAGGAAAAAAACAGTACACGAACACACAGCCTGTTCGGGAGGCCGTATCGTATCGTGGATTATTTACTGCTGGCTGGTTTGGTGTGAGAGAAAAACACTGTTCCCGGCTGGAAATTTACGATCGTTTACGAGCAAGTGAACAGGCTGACAGTCAATTCAAGAAGAATAGACACAATATTAAACCAGATCCAAAGAATATATGAATACAATGGATGAATTACTAGTTAGTATGTGTACCTTGATATACAACTTCTCCAAGCATGGGAAGCATCTCATTAAGTCAATAATCGCATCCAGGTTAAGATTTTTAATATGGACTGCTAAAATCTTGACAGTACATGCCGGCGTTGTCGAGTTAATGACCCGGAATTCCTTTTTGCGGCATGGCTGCATGAAACATGAGTCAGCACATTTATAAACTTCAATATTTTCAAAAAAAAAAAATCTGCACACTATGGAAATTCTGCACATTTATAGGCCTAGGTAGGAAACCAAGAGGTACCTCAATAATCATAGAGCCCAACTTGAGTCTTGAAGAGAAATCAAAATGATTTAGGCAACCCAAGGTCTCCAGATTGGGTGCTGAAATAACTGACACTTGCAGTTGCATGTTAATCCCTCGTTGTTGATGATACATAATCCTTTTAAGGCAAGGGGCATCCTCGACGATGAATTCTTCTAAGAATGTCACTGTTGGTTCATACTTAGCACCCACCCCAATGCTTGTAAGGCTAGCTGAGTTGATCCTGACACAGCGGAAGCCGACGCTTCTGCTAAGCAGGAAGCACTCGAGGACGGGAGAAGCAGCAATGATGCTATGCAGGGAATCCTCCGAAATGATGACCCGTTGAAGTGCGAGCTTCTTGAGCTGGGGGAACTGAAGCGCCTGGGTGATGTCGTCAGAGATGTGGCATTGGCTGAGAGTGGCGACGCAAAGGCATGACGAGAACCGGAAGATAGACACCGGCGGCGGTGGCGGTTGCAACACCTCCGTCGCAAATAAGCCGATCCAGCAGTCAATCTCCTGGAGGTTGTCGAGGGCGAGGGATCGGAGCCATGCATCCACAGTGGCGGGGTGGTCCTGTAGTCGTTGTGCGGGGAAGCGAAAGCGGCGACCGGGGCCCTGGTGGGCGGAGAGGATGCCGGAGACGGCATCGATGGTGAGGGGGTCGCTGCCGTCAAGGTTGAGAGGGGCGGAGCGCCAGAGATGGCGCCACCGGGCGGCGAGGGTTTGGGTAAGGGCGGCATCCTTAGTGGGGAGGAGAGAGATGATCTCACCGAGAATGGCGTCCGGGAGGAGGCTGATTCGGTCGACCCCATCTTCTTGTTCTGCTCCGGCTCCAGGCGGCGGATCTTGGATGGGGGATACGACTCCTCCGGCTCCAGGAGGACAGGAATCAGGCGCCAGCGACGAGATGTTTGCTTCACTCTCCTGGCCGGGGCTCTTGGATACCTCCGGTTTCCTTCTCTTGGCACGGCGAGGCTCCGCCTGCGTCTCCATGGCCGGTGGTAAAACGACGGCAGGCTCAAGCCCGCCGACCGCCGCCACACTTGTTCCAGATGTTGAGATCGGGTGTATATAGCCCTCCCGTCCCCGGCCCATGGGCCCAGGCCATCTAACGTTAGGGTTACAGCCTATTTCGAATGGGAATGCAGCACAAGTGCACAACGGGGAATTGCTAGAACGATGATCATGTGTACCCAAAAACTGATGACAACTAGTAAATTTTGTGTTAGGGAAAAGAGAGAGAATCAGGATGTAAGAGCATCTCTAGTAGATAGTCAAATTCGATCCTTCCTGCCTCTTCCTATCTCAATTCAACACTATCCAACAGACTAGCCAAATCTTGTTCTCCATATCCTGTTGAGCTATATTTTATTGGTACATAATTTTATATATTTTTGTATAATGAATTTGATACACTAAAGTTCAAATTTTTTTAGAAAATAAAACCAACTTTGAGGAGTTTTAATTTAGAAGTTATAAAAGCATTTAAGTGTAATCCAGTTAAAATAGGTTCTTAGCCATTTACTCTATTAGTAATAAAATAGATGTGAATTTAGGAACTTAATAACCTTTTTAATTCATGAAGATGATGAAAGGAACGGATTTTTGGCGCGAAACCATCAAAACCAACTACGAGCCATCCTGTCAGCCTCACGGAAAAGGAGAATGGCAAGCCGACTGCGCACTACTTTTGCCTAGCGGAGAGAGTAGTATGGCATGTGATTATGTGAAAAAAGCATTAGCGAGTCGGATGGAATGATCACTGCAGCGTTGCTTTTGCACGGTGGCAAGTGAAATAGCAATGGATGCTCTCTGTCTCTCTCCTATGGCGTGCTCGGGCATAGCACACTCCAGTGTGGTGGAGACCAAGCGCCCTCCATCTCCACACTGTAATGTGGGGGCAGTCCATGTCAGGCGGATATATCGACAGTCGCGCCGCAGATTGATGCTGGCAGGGACTCATCGGCATGGGGGTGAGGTGTATCGACGCCGGCGTTGCCGGGCAAGGGACAACTCCTTTGTGTGGGCATGCATTTGCTCTGCCAAGCTTGGAGTGGAAACAAAGTGTGGAACTAAGCACCTTCATTGGGACTTAAAAGTCTTGTATATTTGCAAAGATTAAATTGGTTGGGAACAAGACATTGTCACAACCATCTTAAGCAGGAGGGGTTTTTATTGAGAACTAGAACTTTGATCACGACATAGCTAGTACGAAACTTGTTGCTACGACGGTGTTGCATGAATACCCCTTGGGTATGGTTGACCATGTTGACTTTAGGAGTTTTGCACATGCACTCCAAGCGCTATTTCCAGATTGGGATCTAGAAGCACAGTAGGTTATTGTGTGCAAATGTTAAGTTCAACTTGCTTTTATGATGATGTTGCTGCTAGTGTGGTGTTGTTTTGTATTGTTTGTGCATGTGTCATTTGGTTTTTGAGAAATACATAATTAATGAATATGAATTGGAGAGGAAGAAATCCATCAATATATGGTTGGAATCAAATCTAAAGTTGCCATCACTAGTGACATGTGGACTTCTGATAACCAAAGAGAGGTTACATGACCATCACAGCACACTACTTATTGATGAGTTTTGGACTTTAAGAAATATTATTACGAGATGAGCAACTTAGATTTGTGTACCCTAGTTCAATTCATATGTTCACTGATCATAATTTCTCATAATGTTTGCTGATCTTTTCTAGGTTTCTTTAAAGTCCTCACACTCATGAAAGTCATTGGTGATGAACTCTATGAGTCCCTTGTTGATTGGAATCATGATGAGAAGGTATCAAGTATCAGCCATCCCTCTTGATAATTGCAGTACAAATGATGTAGCAAATTCCTTATCTTGTTAGGAAGATTGGCAAAAGTAAGCTTATGGATGATGGGAAATTCTTGCACATGTGTTGTTTTGCTCATATCCTTATTCTAATAGTTAAGGATAGACTAGAACAACTAAAAGATGCCAATTTTTTTTGTGATATAGCTTAAGTACTAGACAACCACATCAAAAAAGTTTGAGAAGTTTAAGGAGATAGATAGTATGTGAGGTTACTATTGAGAAGAAGACATAATTTGCACCAACCTATCAATTTGTCCCTCTTTTTTCCCACGATTCTCCTTTCTTATACCTTATCTTGGTTTTCATGTTAAACCTACATTATTTGAGATTCATTCTCAAGTTATGTTATCATGGTAATGTTCAACAAAGATATCTAATTTGTGGTAATAAGATGCAAAGTACCTCCAAAGGATGAATTTCATGGACCACCCAGGTAGAGGGTCGGATGTGGGTATGATCTGCTAGGAAAAGTTAGGATAGAATGTATTTGTTTAATTAGGTGGAACATAAAATATACGATAACAACAAGAGGATTTAGTTGCCTTCTATAACTGGCTCCAGTTAGATTGGTTTTATAACACTCAACAAAGAAACCATAATTGCTACAACATCGATGAAAAACGGACCAACAAAAGCATGTTATAATTGGGTGAAACATGGCTCTAATAAACACTATTTTAAGTTTCTAAAAGAAAATTTTGGTACAATAGGGTGGTAAAGAACACACCAAAAAATTGTAATTACACACAAAGATTTCATAGCTATTGATGTGTGACTCGATAGGACAATGATGGATGTCATGAATGTGCATGGGCACAAGGGTGGAGCATAGAGTTTTGTCATAGAAGAGGTGCAATGTACATTTCTCAAAGAGGAATAATAAGTCAATGTTTTGAAACTTGTCTTCGTGCGACATTATATCTACTATGAATAGAGCTATTTCATTCTCACTTGTCTTGTGTTTTTTGCTAATCTCTGTTTAGTGCATTTATTTGCACGTATTTAGGATTATTTGCATAGTTCTTTTTGTCTTAGGTAATATATAGCGTGAGTCTCTTTTCTATCTTTATCTATTTAACTTGCAATAAATTCTTTCACATCTTTTTTAATACAAATTCTTGTAAGGAAAATGGTCCCTAGGCCCATTTAATTTGGATTTTAATGTTTGATAATCAACACAACCAAATTGGACTAATGTGTTTGCTATTGTTTATTTTTTAGTTTAATAGGATGCAACGCGGACTTGGATCAACTTTGGAACATGAAGAAAATGATCAACACTCAAAAGAAGACATTGGAGGAGGTGTTGACAGCCTAGAAGTGAAGCAAGGAGTCCAAGACGCGAAGATGTCGAAGCCCGAATAAAGCCACACAAAGAAACAGAAGCAAACGGTGGCTGAGTGGGCACCGCCCTAGGGGTGGCGGTGCCACTAGAGAAGGGTTGCTGCAGTTGGAGAAGAGGGGGGCACCGAACAACACCATGCATGGCGGTGCACCGGAAGGGGGTGACGGTGCCACCACCCTAAAATTCTAGAGAGCAGCGAAGGGAGACTCGGGCACCGCCCTCAGGGTGGCGGTGCACCGCCCTGGTCAACAGTACCCTCAACAGTCGGTTGTCAGTGACCAACGGCTAGCTGACAGGGCTAGCACCGCCCTATCCGGTGCCTGGCACCGCCATGTCCGATGCCCACGCAGAAACGTGGAGCTCGGCCCCAACGGCTATATCTCCATTTGTGGCCTATATATATGACTCCAACCAGCCATTTGAAGTGTGTGGGAGCTGAGGGAAGATAGGAGTGTGTTGCTACACCTCATTTGTGCTCTCCACATGCATAGAGCTTAAAGATCACTTGGTGATTAGCATATGTGCTTTACGAAGTACTTAGGTTAGTTAGACCACGCTCTCATGCGCTTGCTCTAGGCTTAGGTCTAGTTGCTAGTGAGGTTTGCATACCTCTTGATCAAAGGTGGTTTGCGCGCACCGTGTTTGTACTCGGTGGGGCTTGTAGTCTTACGAGACCACACCAACCGTGTTTGTGGTGTGGCTGCCATCGTGTACCAAAGGGAACAAGGCCCGCGACGTTTTGGTCGAAAGCTTGATAATGAAGACGGCGTAGAGCGGTCCGAGAGAGGCTTGCCGGAAGGCACACCGAAGACCCACTTACATGTGGGAAAGGCCCAGGGCTATCCATGGAGTTACCCAGCCAGGAGCTTGGTCCTTGTGAGGGATTCCTTGCGAGGGGCTCTAACGAGGACTAGGGGGAAGCTTGAGCGCTTCTCGATACCTCTGTAAAAATACCAGAATCGTCGATGGGAGTTTGCATCTCTACCTCATTTTTACCTTTCGCATTTACTTTGATACCTTGGTTGTGTGCTTTACTTCCCTAGCTTAGTTGATAGGCTAGTTGATAGGATTGAAACCTAGGTTGCATAACTCTTTTACGGTAGAGATAGCAACACACCTACCAAAATCGTAGTTGCACATTTAGATAGATTACTTTCTTGCATAGGTTTCGACTAGGTGGAAATAGAGGCCTTAGTTAGAAGTAGATTTTTAAGTTATCTAATTCACCCCCTCTTAGGCGTCACAGTCCCTTACAAGTGGTATCAGAGCCGGTTGGCTCAATTTGGACCTTTGGCTTCATTGCTGTTGAGCCGACGCTATTTAGAGTGATTGGGATAGATACCTCTAGGCCTCCACACTTTGACGGTACTAACTTCCCTTACTATAAAGCTAGAATGGTTTGTAACCTTGAGATGGTAGATTTGGATGTTTGGAGAGTCACTCGTGATGGGATGAAACCAATGAAGAATCCCGATAAACCCATAAAGAGTGAAGAAAAAGAAATTCATTTCAATGCTAGAGCTAAAAATTGCTTGTTTGAATCTTTTAGCATGGATATGTTTAACCAAGTGTTCACTTTAAATACGGCACATGAAATTTGGTTAAAATTACAAGAGCTCCATGACGACACAAGTAATATCCGTGAGCAAAAACATTGCATATCTCAACAAAGTTATGATTCTTTTGAAATGAATGATGATGAGCTTGTTCATGATATGTATTCCGTTTGAATCTAATTATCAATGAGCTCAATTCTATAGGATTAACAAAGCTAAGTGATGCGAACATCGTGAGGAAGATCA